ACGGGGCGGGGCGAGCCGCCCACCGTCCCCGGGGCGGGGCGAGTCGTCCACCATCCCCGGGGCGGGGCGAGTCGTCCACCAACCGACGGGGCGGGGCGAGCCGCCCACCATCCACGGGGCGGGGCGAGTCGTCCACTATCCCCTGGGCGGGGCGAGCCGCCCACCAACCCACGGGGCGGGGCGAGCCGCCCACCATCCCCGGGGCGGGGCGAGTCGTCAAGGGCCAACAGCACGTGGGAGCCCAGGGGAGGAACAAGGTTGCGGGAGAAGGGCAGGTCCTGACAGAGACCCCAGGTCGCTGGTTGTGGCTCTCTCTGGGAACTTATTCTGGCTGCTACAGATGGTCCAGTCATGCCCACGGTAACCACCACTGTCCTCGGCTTCGTAGTTGGGTTCAGCTAATCTAAGCTAGAATAAACTAGTTCCGTTGCTTATGAAGGTATAAGTTGTGAGCCCAGGAAGGAGAGGGTTTCAGGAAAGGGGCAAGATGCACAGGGGTCCAAGTAGAAGAGGCTAAGGACTGCAGAAGTCATTGAATGTGACTGTGAACAGGAGCCCCACTGTCTCATTGCCATTCCCTCCTTGCTATCAGTCCCTGACAGAATACATGCCTCAGCCCAATATCCTGGCTGCCAATGTCACCCCCATGGAGAACATGGGCTCCGTCACTCTGATGTATGTCCCCCAAAGAGATTTGCGGCCATCAGGTGGTTCACAGACAGCAAAATCCTCTCTGATGCGGGCTGAGGGGAGCTGTCCCCAGTCCACAGGGTTCTCACCTTCTGGAACATTACACGGAATGACACAGGGCTCTACCAGTGTGAGGCGAGCAATTCAGTCACCTCCAGCCTCAGCAACCTCCTCCCTGTTAACATGAACTGTTTCTTCTGCCTTGTGCCTGCCCAGGAGACACCTGGGGGAAGGAATGTGGCAAGTCCAGATTAATGATAATAACAGTTAAGATTCATTGAACACATATCATGCGCCAGGCACTATTCATGTATTACTTTAATCCTCACCCACAACCTGTCAGGGAGGTACTATGATTATCCCCATTTCGCAGCGAGGAAATTGAGGCTGAGAGGTTAAATCAGTTTCCCAGACTTAGTATGTGGTAAAGCTGGTTTGAACAGAGCATCTGTCTCCAGAGCCCACTCTCTTAGCCACCTTGTTATACAATAGTCCTCCCTTATATGTGGTTTTGCTTTCCATGGTTTCACTTACCTGTGACCAGCCATGGTCTGCAAATATTAAATGGAAAATTCCAGAAAGGGAATTTGAGAGAGAGAGAGAGAGAGAGAGACTGAGGGGCCACATTCACACAGTTTTTATTACAATACGTTGTTATAATTATTCTATTTTATTATTAGCTATTGTTATTATGATCTTACTGTGCCTAATTTATAAATTTATGCATGTATAGGTATGTATGTATGTATAAGAAAAAACATAGTAGAAATAGGGTTTGGTACTACCCACAGTTTTAGGCTTCCACTGGGAGTCTTGGGGCATATCACCTGCAGATGAGGGGGGCTACTGTACTGTCTGTCCCTTGTCTGCTGAACCATGTTGACAACTTAGAGGCTATTTAATCAAACGTCCCTGTATAATGAGGTAAAGAAATGAAGGGACTGCCCAAAGTAGGTAGGGACTGTTTACGAGGAACAGAAGCCAAACAAAGCAGAAGAAGGAAAACAAGAGAATGTATTAGAAGGCCACAGAGGTACCACATGGAAACCAAGGAATTCTGGGCTCAGCTTTTTTCCGTGGTGGTTTCATTCTCAGGGAAGGAAAGATGGTCCGAGCAGCTCCAGACTCACATCCCACTGGCTTAGCAACCCCAGGGAAAAGACTGCACCTTGACCTCAGTGGTTTCAGCAAAATTCTCAAGGGTGATTCTCACTGGCTGAATTTGGGCCGTGTGCCCACCACTGAACTGATCACGATGGAGGGAGATACTGTGCTTTCATTGGACAGTCACGGGTTCTATGTCTGCCCTTGCCTGGGGGGTGGGTAGGAGGGTTGACTCCAGGACATCTGCAGATCGAGAACGGAGGAGGGGCGGTTCCCAAAAGGACATGCTTCTGGGATGGGGAGATGGGAGGCTGGTCAGGTGACAGCTGCTCTCTCCACTGGGGCCACCCCAGGATGGGAGTGGGGATTCAGTCTGTCCTTTTAGAGAACGGACACAGGCTGGAGCCCCGCTGCCCACATAGGGTGAGTCTGGAGCCCAGCATCCTGACTCCCAGAGCAGTGATCACCACGGCCACCACCTTCCTTTCCTCTGGCTGCCACCACGGTGGGTTGGTGGGTTGCGGGGTTGCTGTTCATATTTTCTGTATCCAAGCTTCCTCTCCTCTCTTAAGCGTTCTTCAGTATCAATGTTGTCATCCCTAGCACTCACCTGGTACCGAGCACGTGCAAGCACACACACACCCTGCTGCAGCCCCACAACCCAGTGAGGCGGCCACTCTCACTCTCGATTTTCACAAACGAGGAAACTGAAGTTCAGAGCCAACACACGTGACAGCTAGGACTTGGACCCCAATTCATCTGACGCCAAGCCCTGGGCTCATAATCGTCATGCTCTAAGTCCCTCTCACTGATGTTTGAGGAACGTGACTTATTAGGTCCCTCAAA